GGTGGTGAGATTGGGAACTACTTCGCGCTTTGTTTACATCTGAACATGTATTCCTCCGCCATGGTTGAATATTCTTAAAATCGGGTTACATTAAGGAGTTTATTGGTACTAACACACAATAATAAACAACACAGTATCCCCCTATCCCGTACCCTATCCTCCTCTCCCCTTCCTTATCCTCTGCTATCCCCTACTCCCTACCCCTACCCTCCTACCCCTCTATACCCTCCTCTCTCCTCCCCTACCCAGCCTCTTAACCCCCTACACACCCGGTACCCCCTTCCCGACAGCCAGACACAGGGTAGGTTAGATTTTTTTTCGATTGCCCCGGAGGGGGCTAGTTTATTGGGCACCCCCTTACAACCTGTGCAAGGCGAAGCCCAGAAGTGTTCACAGTGCCCATCTGGGAAGCATGCGGAGTTCATGCTTGCCTTTATGACTCATGCATTGAGGGCGTAAAAGCCTGAAGGGTCATGGGTTTTGTCAGCAAGTTACATAAAGTGACAGAATGATGAGTGTGTGGGGGGATAGTTCCCAGTACATTTCATCTGTTTATGGCAAAGCGTGGCAGGTCCCTAATAATGTCAAGTGCCAGGCCTGTCACTAGGAGGAGGGATATCTGGTCAGGGAAGGAAGAGGTGTTGGTAACGGCTGGGGACCTGTAGGAGGACGTCATAGGTAGGCCTACTGTAGGAGTCAGGGTCAGAGGTCAAAACCACACAGCACTCGAGGACAGTTTGTGAGTAATGTTCACAATAATTAATAATAACAAAGGAAATAATAATAATAATAATAATAATAATAATAATACAAACAAGAACATCAACAAAAACTAAAAGATGAAGAACAAGAAGAAATAAAAGGAACAGGATCCAACCTAAACCAATACCTAACCCTCATCTAAACCTCTTTCCTTCGTCGTGTCCACCCAGCTGACCTTTAACCTGACCTTTGAAATGTTTTAGGTCGTTATAACAAGGTTTATAGCCTCGGGTCGTGGTATATCGCGTTGTATTGAAGTATACGAGTGATATATGGACCGTCTTTTCTCACTATATAACGAGGTGTATTGTGGTGACGGCTATTGTGCACGGTCTCGTTATTGTCCTCGTGTTCAATGGCGGTATTTCGTTTTAAAATAGTCCCTCTAAGCTGGGTCTAATTTTGATATTTTATTCCCTGTCTGTCTCTTATTCTTTTTCTCCCTCTTCCTCTCTGTCTCGGTCTATCTGTCAGTCTGTTTCTGTCTTTCTCTTTCCGTGTCTCTTGGTCTGTCCCTCTGTCTCTCTATCTCTCTCTGTATGTTTCTCCCTGTCTCTTTCGCTGTCTGTTTCCCTGTTTCTCTCGCTGTCTGTCTCTCTCTCTCTCAGTAACGGGAGAAGACAGCGAGAGAGCCAATAAGCAGTATTGACACGCACTCTGGAATAGTGTAGAGTTTTCACCGATAGGATGAACAACGCCAAAGTAAACACCACATCCACGAATTACAAAAAAAAAAACAACCCTTTCCTTTATTAACACCTATTTTAACTCGTCCTTATATAATCCAACTGTTTATTTAATGACTCTAAGGTTGAATTAATTGTAAATGGTCTTTTATTGTCGTTAAAATGGCTCTAAATAGCTCCGGGTGGTAGGAGGATGTCGTTGTCCATGGTGGGGAAAACAAAGGCCAGGGGACGGACTGACCCCCAGGTGGCTTTGTGGCGCCGCAGGGAAGAATATCGTGCACGGACCTGTATTATTATCGTACAGCGGTCACTGACTCTCTTTCTCTCTGTTTTTTCTCCTTTCCTCCATTTTTCCATAAGTTAATCTCATTCTCTTTACGCCTCTATCTTTTATTTATTTATTTCTCTGTCTGTTTCTACGTCTCGTTTGTCATGTTAACTACAATTGTAACCCTGATCATAAAATTACACACTTGCTTTAACGATAATAATGTAATTTTCAACGAGTTCACAAGACAATAGGCGTTGGTCGTGTGTGTATGTATTAATAAGTTAGGGGTCATCACGCATCAGGCATCCCGACCAAAACAAAAACATTGAGAGAGGCGGGTGAAGCTATATACGTCTTGGCTTGTATAATACTCAGTTACCTGGTCTGTAATTAGGTAGGTAACAACGGTGTGTTTACATTAGTGTCAGGACTGTGGTTAAGAGGAGAGAGAGAGAGAGAGAGAGAGAGAGAGAGAGAGAGAGAGAGATACACACACACGGAACCATGACCTCGTTGCAAATTGCCACCACCAGGGGGCCCAAAGGTCAATGGTCAGAGGTTAAGCAGCTCGACGCCATTGCATAAAGGGTTTTATGCTGCAGCTTCCATATTTACGGGTTCTGATAAGGAGGTGGAGACGTTCTTTAGTTAAGAATACAAACTTAACGTAAGAACCTTTGAGAATCCATCTTTGTGCCGTTGCTTAAGTGAATCGGTTAAATACGTTCTCAAACATCCACTTAAGGTGAAAGTTTGACTTATGAGCACGAGAAGATCCAGAGTAAGGTAGTAATTAGTTGAGGATGTTTAGTGAGGTGATGTAAGTGGGCATGGCAGGTGGGTATGGTAGGGGAGGTGGGCAGGTGGGTATGGTAGAGGAGGTGGGCAGGTGGGCACATGTATACTTATGAGGCACTTTAGGCCACCCAGGTGAAGACAGGAGTGTATAGAGAAAGTTTGTGTGAGTGTGTTGTGTGTGTGTATGTGTGTGTGTATGTGTGTGTGTGTGTGTGTGTGTGTGTGTGTGTGTGTGTGTGTGTGTGTGTACCCTCATGATAGTCGGCACACACACACACACTCTCCTTCAATACCATCCATCACCATCATTACCATACGTTCACACTACTCATACTACCATACACCACCATAATCACCACACACACTCCTCTTTACCTCAACCACCATCACACCCTACCTACCACAACAACCACCACACCCTACCACCATCACTACTACCACACACAGTTAAGTATAAAACACAATTTAAATATCTCTAAGCTACTACTGTCATGTATGTATGTATGTATGTATGTATGTATGTATGTAATATCAACATAATACAGACACACATGTATATTTATGTCCTTTAAGTTACATATAAATACAAAGTACATTACAGAAGATTACATAACTAATACAGGGGGAAAGATGACATCACTCCACAGCACACCTTTACCTATGGTTAATTACAGTGTACAGGTGAGGCTGGTGGTAGAAGACACTGTTAGGGTAGGTGTATCCCCTTCCTCACCACCTGTAGTCGCTTATTACCACAACTCTTGCTACAACAATCCTCACTACCACAATCCTCACTATCACAATTTTCACTACCATAATCTTGGGTACCACAATCCTTACTATAACTCTTGCTACCACTATCCTGGCTATCATTATCACCACAACTCTTGCTACCACTATTGCTAGTACCACTGTCTTGGATATCATCACTATTAGGATAATATTCGCTATCACTATCGGTACTACAACAAATTTTGTTACCACTATCTCCACCACCACCACCACCAAGAACAACCACCACCACCACCACAACACAACAATCACCACCACCACCACAACAACAACAACCACCAACACCACCGCAGACACCACCACCACAACAATCACCACCACCACCACCACAACAATCTCCACCACCACCACCACCACCACCACCACCACCACCACCACAACAACAACAATCACCACCACCACCACCACAACTAACCCCAACATTTAAGTACCTTCCCTAAAAAAAAATACCTTAATGACCCTACACAGGTGACCTTATGCACCTGACCTCTGACCTGTAAGTATCTGAGGTCATTAACAGGTAATAGCACAGGTAGAGGTGAGGGATATCAAGGAAGATAGTCTTTCTCTTTGTCTGGATTATATAGAGATGGAAATCCGTTATATCAAGGGTCCGTTATATATGAAACCTCCAATTTAACGGAATATCTGGAGAGAGAAATCCGTTATATCGAACTTCCGTTATATAAAACCTTATTTAACGGATTATATATAGAGAAAAGTCCGCTGTATGGAGGTTTGGCTGTAATTATCTTCCGTGTATCTTCCTGTTTGCTAAATCACTTCCTGAATCATGTCATGCACGTTCACAGCCCTATTCGTACACAGCCATATACGTACACAACCATATACGTACACAACCATATACGTACACAACCATATACGTACACAGTTCTATACGGTCACAGCTCTATACGTTCACAGCTCTATGCGTTCACAGCCATATACGTACATAGCCTAGACGGTCACAACCCCATACATACAGAGCCTCAGCCCGAGCAGTCAAACAGCCCTGAGCGATCTCTTCTATACAGTAATGTCACGTTTATTTAATACCGGAAGTAACGTTCGCCTGACTTTCGCTTGCCTACACTGGCGATCACTAGTGGGAGGGAGTTTAGAGCGGTTTAATCCTGTGAGTCATCTTGGCGCGTGATGGTCGAGGTATTGAGCCTTGAGCCATGAGTCCTGAGCCCAACCTGTTATATAGGTACTATAAAAGAACGCCAGGCTGTCTTTAGGCGTGGCGAATATCCGTCTGGCGTAGCTACCATAAGTTCTTCTTTGTAGGGGAAAGGTAAATGTCACGAGCTGTTCTTGGCTGTTTGTTCATGCAGGCGCTGTGTTGCTGGGTGTTGCTGTGTGTTGCTGTGTTGCTGGGTGTTGCTGTGTTATCACTGTTCCTTCCCTCCAGCTACTGCATCCCTCTGTCGGAGCAGCGAAGCGCGACAGCTTAGTCAGAGGAGTTCAAATACCTGAATAATGTAAATACTTCCACAGTTCCCGGTGTGTGTGTGTGTGTGTGTGTGTGTGTGTGTGTGTGTGTGTGTGTGTGTGTGTGTGTGTGTGTGTGTGTGTGTGTGTGTGTGTGTGTGTGTGTGTGTGTGGTTTAGGCTCCCACCATACTATAGTATTTCTTATATGTGATTGAGTTGTGTATGTGTGTTAGTGTTTGTTTTGTCCTGCAGGTGGCGTGAGACGGTACTGGTGGCGGCGGTGGTGGTGGTGCTGGTAGCGAGGTCGTCAGCTCAGATGCAGACTTTGGACGCCGCTGGGGCACTACAGGTGAGTAAATGAGGAACTTACCTGTGTGTGTGTACTAATTAATACCCTCAACGTCTCAATCACTGTTTATATTGCTTCATATCTGCTGAAAGGTTTTCTATCCTACCCTACCCTACCCTACCCTACCCTACCCTACCCTAACCCACAATGACTCACCTGTATCTCTCTCTTCCTCAGGTGTTACAGAGACTGGGACTGGATCGAGGGGGCGCTAGTCTGCCGAGCGTCACGCAGGGGGAGCGGATAAGACAAGAAGATTCGCCCATTTATTACATTAAATTGCCTCCTCTTCCATATTACTACGTCAACAATAACATCCAGCACCAAGCCCACACCAGCACCACTTCCTTCCCCTTCCAGAAAGTAAGTTTGTGGGAGAGAGGTTTGTTGGGTGGGATATGAGGGGTGAGGGAGGGGTGTTTGTTGGATGGGAGGGGTGAGGGAGGGGTGTTTGTTGGATGGGAGGGGTGAGGGAGGGGTGTTTGTTGGATGGGAAGGGTGAGGGTGTGTTTGTTGGATGGGAGGGTGAGGAGGGTGTTTGTTGGATGGGAGGTGAGGAGGTGTTTGTGGATGGAGGGTGAGGAGGGTGTTTGTTGGATGGGAGGGTGAGGAGGGGTGTTTGTTGGATGGGAGAGGTGTTTGTTGTGGATAGATGGGAGTGAGGTAGATGGGTGGATGGGATGGGAGCTTGATGGGATGGGTAGATGGGGAAATAAATTGTTAGGAGTTATGGGTAAATGGGATGGTATATAAATGGGCAGATATGCTAAATGGGATGGGGGAGAGATGGAATAGGTATCAAATAGGGAAAGGCAAGATAAGTAAAGAAGATGATGAATTAATTGAGAAAATAAAACGAATAAAGATAAGTAAATAATAATACAAATTCCTCCCATAATAAACCAACTCTCTCTTTTTTTTTTCTCTCAATCACTTTAAGGTCGACCTCGATTTCACCAACAACGGACGTCCTACTCAGATCTACCACTGGAGTCAACCAACATCAGCTACACCTCACCCATGGAAGCCCTCTACTACTACCACCACCACTACCACCACACCACCACCTACCACCACAGCATCTACCACCACTACCACCAGACCTACCAAGAAGCCATGGTTTACCCTCAATAAGTACTTTCCTTATAATGGTCGTCCCTCTAATGTTTACATCTGGAAGCCTCGACCTCCCGTGGCTGTACAGAAATATAAACACCCTTACTTCAAGCATTTTAACTACTAGGAGGCTAGCATTATCATCAACTACTAGCACTACCCACAACTATTACTACAGCTATTACTTTTACCACCACGACTACAGTAATTACTATTATTACTACAAGTATTACTTTTACCACCATGATTATAGCTCCTATCACTTAGAACACAATCACTACTACTACTACTACTACTATTAGCATGACCATCACTACTCTCACTACTACTAGCACAACCACAACTACTACCACTACTAGCCTCTATGGTGCTAATATATCACTTTCCTATTAGCTAGACACAAAAAGAGATATATTATTTATGTATTTGTTGTAACAAGTATACACAAACAACCAGACTTATAATAACATATCAAGGGGTTGTATATGGTTGTATGTTATATAAGGTTATACTCCGGAGCTTCATATATCACGATCAGTTCTATAAGTGACCATTACTGTACACACACACACACACCTGTAATATAGATCTTCTGTTTTTGACTACACTTGTTTTTGGCGTCCTTAGCAACCTCATTAATACGTGAGAGATGATTGGCTGCTGGTTTTTAAGTTAACTAATCAACTTCCACGACCTGTCACGGTTGCTAAGGGAGTTAACCAATCAGCTTCCACCAATTGTCACGGTTGCTAAGGGAGTCAACCAATCAACTTCCACCAATTGACACGGTTGCTAAGGGAGTTAACCAATCAGCTTCCACGACCTGTCACGGTTGCTAAGGGAGTTAACCAATCAGCTTCCACCAATTGATACGGTTGCTAAGGGAGTCAACCAATCAACTTCCACCAATTGTTGCTAAGAATGGAATTTGGTCGATAAATCAATTAACCTGGTCGAGATCTGTAGAAAAAATGTACAAAGGCATAAATAATAAGAATTAGATTATTGTATTTTAACATAAACTAACAAAAATAGAATAATTATTGTATATATAATTTTTCTCCAGCTTGATTTACTCGCTGAGAGATATAAATTATTGTTGATATGTTTGTTATTTGTGATGTATTTGCGTTATGTTTTTTTTATGACAAGTTTTTGTTGTTGAATTAATGACTAACAAGTGTCGTGACTCTGACGGATTGTAAACAAATATGGCCGCTGGTTTTATGACAATGACGAAATGTAAACAAATATGGCCGCTGGTTTTATGACAATGACGAAATGTAAAAAAAAAATGGCCTGGTTTATATAACAATGACGGTAACAAATATGGCCGCTGGTTTTATGACAATGACGAAATGTAAACAAATATGGCCGCTGGTTTTATGACAATGACGAAATGTAAAAAAAAAATGGCCGCACATTTTGATAATAATGAAAACATGTAAAAATAAATATTCTCAAACTTTGATCCTTTGGGAAAATTAAAAGAAAAAATATAAAATATCTCAGATTTGTCTCAAGAGAATAAATTTTACCCCACTGTTAAGAAGTTGTCTCCTAGCTGCCACCATTACTGTTTTTTTTTTGTAATGGCGGACATTTTGCTCTGAGACTGTGTGCAATATGTTGTTATTATTGAGTTGAGTGAGCGATTGACTGTCTCTCTCTCCAGCTCTCTCTCTCTCACTCTGTCTCTTTTGTTTTACCCGTGTGTGATGTTTGTCAGACCCCAGTGCTAATAGGCCCCAGTCCCAGTAGACCCCAATCCTAGTAGACCCCAGTCCCAGTAGACCCCAGTCCTAGTAGGCCCCAGTCCTAGTAGGCCCCAGTCCCAGTAGGCCCCAATCTTAGTAGACCCCAGTTTCGATAGGCCTCTAACTGATATAATCCAAGTATTAAGACTAGATACTAATTGGACTGGGGCCCATTATGACTGAGCCCCATTATGTCTAGCACCCATTATGACTGGGGCCCACTATGTCTGGGACCCATTATGACTGGGGCCCACTATGTCTAGCACCCATTATGACTGGGGCCCACTATGTCTGGGACCCATTATGACTGGGGCCCACTATGTCTAGCACCCATTATGACTGGGGCCCACTATGTCTGGGACCCATTATGACTGAGCCCCATTATGTCTAGCACCCATTATGACTGAGCCCCACTATGTCTGGGACCCATTATGACTGAGGCCTACTATGTCTGGGACCCATTATGACTGGGGCCCACTATGTCTGGGACCCATTATGACTGGGGCCCACTATGTCTGGGACCCATTATGACTGGGGCCTACTATGTCTGGGACCCATTATGACTGGGGCCCACTATGTCTGGGACCCATTATGACTGGGGCCCACTATGTCTGGGACCCATTATGACTGGGGCCCACTATGTCTGGGGCCCACTATGTCTGGGAACCATTATGACTGGGGCCCACTATGTCTGGGACCCATTATGACTGAGCCCCATTATGTCTGGGACCCATTATGACTGGGGCCCACTATGTCTGGGACCCATTATGACTGGGGCCTACTATGACTGGGGCCCACTATGTCTGGGGCCCACTATGTCTAGCGCCCATTATGACCCAATACAATTTGTTATCATATTTATTAAATTAAATTACGATGCTTAAGTTTTTATTGCTATTTCTGCTATTTATTTGTAGATTAATGAATAAAATTGACTTTTTATTTATGCTATTTGTGTTTATCTTCCTATTTTATACATTTTATTGAGTGAATGAAATAGTGTATAAACTGATTTTAATTGTTATTGGATCTGATTTTTTGTTATTGCTTGTAATTGGTGATTTTCTTGTTATTTTTTCTTTGCTATTTTTTTTTGTTCGTTTGATTTGTTTTCTCTTCCCTTTTCCTTCCCTTCCTCCCCTCTTTATCTCTTCTTCCTTCTTCCCTATTCCCCTCTCTCTCCCTCTCTCTCTCTCCCTACTCCTCTTCTTCCTCCACCTTCTCCCACCCCTAAAACCACCTCCTCCACCAGCTCTTCCACCACCACCTCCTCCTCCTCCACCTCCATCAGCACCACCACCACCTCCACCAGCACCTCCTCCTCCACAGCACCTCCACTCCTCCCACCTCCTCCTCCTCCACCTCCACCCCCTCCACTCCCACCAGCACCTCCTCCTCCACCACACCCTCCACCTCTCCACCACACACCACACCTCCTCCTCCTCCACCACACCTCCACCTCCTCCACCTCCACCTCCTCCACCTTCCCCAGGGCACGAGTTAGCCCTAAGGGAAGGTCGAGGCGGTGGGCGTAACGAAGGAGAGATTATCATACCTCTGGCAGTGACGTCATGTGGAGCCCATCGGCGATCGTCGGAAATGAAAGAAGTTATCGAATGGCAATGGTGTTTAAAGAGAGAGAGAGAGAGAGAGAGAGGCCACCGGAAGTAACCATACAGGAATACGAAAGTAAACACGTCCCTTACCTGTCCCTAATTAGTCTCACCTGAGAAAGACACACCTGGAGGGAAGGATGAACACACATACACACACACATACAGACATACACACACACACACACACACACACACATAGACACACACACACACACACACATAGACACATACACACATCTTCCACTCCTGTACGTGATATTTTTGGTTATTTAAAATACAGGTTCGAATCCCGTTTTAGGACCCTTCTGTGTATGTATGTATGTATGTATGTAATTCTCGTTAGGTCCCTGTACAAGGATGTGTGTCAAGGTGGTGTTGGGAGTAATTACTAGTACACCTGTCGACCTCATTTGCATAATTGCTTCCGGTTCTGTACAGGTGGGTTAAGCTCTGGTTGTTTTAAGGGTTCGTACGTTGAGAGAGAGAGAGAGAAAGAGAGAGAGAGGTAAAAACACACACACCCTCTGACACCCGACCCATTATTACCATCCCATTTATCCCCATTACACAAAGGTGACAAATTGGGTGATGGGTGGCTAATGGGTGGCTAGTGGTTGAGGTACAAAATAGGGATTGAAATAGGGTGGCGACCAATAGCAGGGATAATTGTTTGTCGTGATGGCTTGAGGCGAAATAGGGAGAGAGGGAGGGGGGGGGTAGGTGGAGTGGGCTGGGGAGGTAGAGGGAGGTGGTGGGTTAGGGGAGGGAGAGGAGGTAGGAGGAATGAGGGGGGGGAGGGAGGGAGGGAGGAAGAGGGGTAGGTGAAGAGGGCTGAGGAGGGGGGGTTAAGTCCACTTCCGGAAGCCCCTCATCGGCTCGTTTAACTGGCCTCTTCACTGCACCATTAACTGTATGGGGCGAGAGTTATGGTGCTGTTAATGTGTTAATTGAGAGAACACAACACCAGGTAGGAGGGTTACCTGTACCACTAATTGGTTCTTTGGTCCACCGGAAGTTGAGTGTGTGTGTGTGTTGAGGACGTGTGTGTATTTATGTGTGTGTTTGGAGGTCTTCTATGGGTGTGAATGTGTTTGTATGTATGTTTGTATAAGCACAATCATAAACAAAGAACAAACAAAAACAAACAAACAATAATCAACACCTTTATTACGTCACATACACAGAGAGAGAACAAAAACAACACGAAAGATAACACAACATAACAATAACAAGAAATAACACGTAATAACAGGCATAACACATAACAAATATAACAAATAAGGCCAAATAAAAGCTCTACACAACACAACAATAACAATTATATACAAATACATTATCTTTAATTAACAAAAGCTTCTAGAAAGGGATTTTTTTTTACGCTATCGTCCAGTCTTTTGTTTTGATGCAGAATGTAAACACAGAGAAGCAGGGAATACGAGCCTTAAACGCAAGCATTAGACATACAAATAATAATAATAATAATAATAATAATAATAATAATAATAATAATAATAATTCGTACTTGCCAAATGACGATAAAGACAATAAACCTCTGGTAATTATCATATGAACAAGTCAAAATTTCGGGCACTTGTAATGTGATTCGCCATATTGGATGAGGAACTTGGGATTCTTGGGAATTTGGATCAGTCGCCATCGAAGTGTGGGAGGTGCAGTACCGTAAGTGAACTCTGACTTGTTATTTGTTTATTTATAAATTCTTCATTTTCAAATTGAAATATCCTATTTATCTTAATTCTCATATATATTTACGTTATATAAAGGTACTAAAGTAACTTTATATCACCTGTAACTAACTAAAAACAACTTTATCCATCCTTTTAAAGTTTTGTTGACGAATACTCATTGACGTTACACCCTAGGGGACCAGTTAACCAATTTAGAGAATATTTATCAAGTATATTCTTCATTAAATACAAGTTTTACTCTGAATATTTCCTACGATAGACGAAATTATCAATATTTTTATCTTTTATGGATGATATTAACAATAACACTGAAATAAGCGAGTTTATAGTTGGAATTTAAGGAATGGAAGTAAAACGTCGTCTTTGTGTTGACAATATATACGCAAACTATCTTCTATATGCTTAGTATACAGGTAAACCTTCTATGTATCAGTATACAAGTAAACTAACATGTAAATTAACCTCAGTATACAGGTAAACTAATGTAAATTAACATTGGTATACAGGTAAACTAGCATGTAAATTAACCTCTGTATACAGGTAAACTAATGTAAATTAACATTGGTATACAGGTAAACTAACATGTAAATTAACCTCAGTATACAGGTAAACTAATGTAAATTAACATTGGTATACAGGTAAACTAACATGTAAATTAACCTCAGTATACAGGTAAACTAACATGTAAATTAACCTCAGTATACAGGTAAACTAACATGTAAATTAACCTCAATATACAGGTAAACTAACGTTAATTAACATTAGTATACAGGTAAACTAAGGTAAATTAACCTCGGTATACAGGTAAACTAACGTTAATTAACATTAGTATACAGGTAAACTAAGGTAAATTAACCTCAATATACAGTTAAACTAACGTAAATTAACATTAGTATACAGGTAAACTAAGGTAATAAGGTGGTAGTTTACTCTCTAAAAAAATATTTACGGCATAGACTGTTATAGCTTAACTGACTGTCACACTAACTGGTTACTAACTTCTGACTGGTCAATTATATATAACAGAATAGGAACAGTCTACCATAACTGAGTTGACTGGCTGAACTAATTGGTGTCTGTCTGCTTGTTTATTTGTCTTAATATCTGTGTCTGTCTACCTGTTTTTGTGTCTGTCAGCCTGTCCATAAAGCGTACACTACATGGATGACATATCTACGTTATTGCAAATATTGAAAAGTTGACTAATGCAACATACGTTATTGCAAAGACATACATTCAACACCATTGCAAGATTGACCTTTAAATATTAACACACATTATTGAATCACTTTACAGCAACGTCATGCAACATGGTATTTCTTGCAATCAACACAGAGTTATTGCATCATTGATTATAAGTATTGATGTAAAATACTCAAGCGATGCATTGAGGAATTTTAAATCGACTTACCATACCTGTTACGCCCTATTTATCACCTGGTCAATTACAAAACTGACTCAAATCGTCTAAGTCAACATACTACGCATCGTTGGTCTAATTAATTGACTTGTTTATCTGTCTTTACACACACTGTTTACTCTACGCTGGAGTCAACAATGGACGCCGCTTCCAGTGTACAATACTTCACTATTTTTCGTGTTTTCTCTTCATTTATATCAGATATAACTAATTAACGATCAAGCATTCATACACAAGTCCAAGTCTAACAGGAGCCACGTCCAATCATCCTCACAGACACACTATAAACTCCTCTTAATCCTAATCCTTCCGTGAACGTCAAGTCCTCCCGTGTGAAATCATTGACGCGCGGCACAACACATTATATGTAAGTTAGCCCTTAAACCTAGATGACGTCATGGCGTTACATTTTCCTCTTCAAGCTTATTCACGAATTATACATCAAGGTGGGTTAATATATTATTCATTAATATATTACTCTATGATCTCTCTATGTTGTATTTCGTTGTATTATAATAAATTGATGTATTATGTATAAAGGTATTTCTTATAAAAAACGTGGAATTGGTTTTTATGATCTTTTTTAGTGGGCAATTTCGTTTGAATAAAATGGAACACTTTCTGGTTGAATTAATTTACGTATGTCAGGTAATTGATGAAAATTTACATACTTTACGAGTTATTGATTTGGTTCATGACTAAAATCCTGACTTTTATTTATTATAATTTAAGATGACCGATAATACATATATGGTTTATATTATTTTTAATAAATTAACTTTATTTGTAAGTGATTTGTGTATTTTTTTACTGTTTTATGTTCGTTATCCGTCAATCCTCCATCTAAAAATAACAAAAGACTATCATAATTGTTTTGGGTATTATTCTCAATAATTCCCTAACAAATATATCTCTTTATTTTTTATTCACGTGTTATGAAATCCCAAAATTAAAAGAAAACAAAAATCAAAGAGGATTCCCATCTATGAAAAACAACTTGCGTTTTCTGTGCGTTGTTTAACTTAGCTACCCGCACCTACCCTCACCCCACCCCCCGTCGCGAGTAAGATATTTTTTGGAGGTTATCTACCAGTAAGATCATCAATCAGGCAACTACTTGAGGTAGATGCCTGGCTTGTTATATCTCTGGTGCAGCTTATCAAAGTGAGAGGGATTGTAAGGTGAGTTGAAGATGAAGAGGTTAGAGGGGCGACCATTGAAGTACCAGGGTCCTTGAAGCCAGGTAATATGGCTTGGCTTCTTGGTTGGCAATGGCTTTGTTGGCTTAACTGTCGTCGTGGAGGGAGTGGTGGTAGTAGTAGTAGTCGTCGTGGTAGTAGGCCGAGGGGTAGTCGTAGTAGTGGCTGTAGTCGTTGGTGGTGTAGACATATAGTGGTACACGCTGGAAGGTTTGCCATTGTTGATGAAGTCGATGTCTGGCCGCAGGAAGTTGAATTTGTTATTGTTGGGAGAGACGTAACCCACTCCTGGCATATACATGTAGGGGGAGGGTGGCAGCCTGATGTAGTAGATGGGGGAGTTGGTGACGGGGAGCTGCTGCGTCTGTGGTGGAGAGAGGGAGAGGTTAGTGGTGGTGGTAGAAAGAGACGGGGGTTAATGGAGGTGGTGGAGAATGGCAGTGATGGTGTTGGTGGTGGAGACAAGCAGGGTTTAGTGGTGGTGAGAGAGACAGGGGTTAGTGGTGGTGATGGTGGTGGAGAGAGACAGGGGTTAGTGGTGGTGAGAGAGAGAGATTAGTGGTGGTGGAGAGAGACAGGGGTTAGTGGTGGTGAGAGATTGTAGTGGTGAAGGTGGAGAGAGAGACAGAGAACTGTAGTGGTGGCAGGCTGAAGAGAGACAGGGGTTAGTGGTGGTGAGAGAGACAGGGGTTAGTGGTGGTGATGCTGGTGGAGAGAGACAGGGGTTAGTGGTGGTGATGGTGGTGGAGAGAAAGGCAGGGGTTAGTGGTGGTGGTAGGCAGGGATTGGTGGTGTTGGTGATGGAGAGAGAAACAGTGGTGGTGATGGAGAGAGAGAGGCAGGGTGTAAATAGAGGTGTTGGTCTGAGTGAACAAGTTTGCGGTCATCGTTTGTGTGTGTGTGTGTGTGTGTGTGTACCTGTATACATTGATGACTGAACAGACATGTGTAAGTTTAAGAACACTGATGGCCACCGTATAACATTCCTACATATATAATTACACAAACATGCACAATAATATATCATTCACTGAGTAATCGTTCTTTTATTATTATTATTATTATTATTATTATTATTATCATCTCACCTTAGGCTTGGGTGTCGCCGTCGTCGTTGTTGTGGTCTTCCCTGACGCCGCCTGCCTCACAGCCTCCAGCAGGGCATTGTGAGACGAAGAGGAGGAGGAGGAGGAGGAAGGAGAAGAAGAGGAAGAGCCAATGAGGGAAGACCCACGAACCCCGCGTCTGGAGGCAGGGAAGAGCTGCCCTAGGGAGAACGCCTCGACCTGGGTACTCGAGAGATCCATCACCAGGATCATCACCACCAGCAACGTCGCCGCCAGCCTTGAATAGAAAAAAACAGGTGAGTTACTATTGTGCGTACAAGAATTATATTAACCCTTTTATTTAACATTTCTAATAATAACCCTTTCATTTAACATACAGTAAAACCTCTATTTAACCACAATGAACAAACAACAAACACACAAAAAACAACAACACCACATTCCTCACAAAGACACAAACACAGATGGTCAAAACAGAGAGGGGCCCAGAGATTAAGTTTAGGGACGCCGCTGCCGCCTCACTGACAGGAAATTGGGAGCGATGAAGAGGTGGAATTTCTAGATGCAATGTCCCAGTAATGATAGTTAATGATAGATTTGATTAGGGGGAAGTCTTTTACAGTGTTTGGGTGGATCTGGTGTGGATTAGGTCATGTGGATTAGGTTGTGTGGATTATAGAGAAAGCTTACGAATGTGTGGATATGGGTATGGCTCCGGTGTTGGGTACGTAATGTGGATTAGGTTGTGTGGATTATAGAGAAAACTTACGAGCGTGTGGATGTGGGTATGGCTCTGGTGTGGGATATGTAATGTGGAGTCTAACAGTGTAACAATCCATCATCTCCATCATCCAGTCAACACAATCCAGGTAAATTCCATTAATCTTCGGACAAGTGAACGGAAAGTAACACGGGGTCGAGCGATAGTTTCTGGGAGTCAGGTGATAGGAGCAAGTATCATCGGACGGACGTATTGAGAATAACTAGCCTCTGAGCGATTGTTTCTGGGCTGGATCCCCCATTTGGAGAATAATTATTGGTCATTATTAGATTTGTCTGATGATTTGCGCGTGAGTAGAGAGAGAGAGAGAGAGAGAGAGAGAGAGAGAGAGAGAGATAAAGAGAGAGAGAGAGAGAGATAGAGAGATAACTTAACTTGATTTCATTTAACTTATCCTTAACTTGACTTAATCTACCCTTAACTTAGCCTGACTTAATTCAACCTATCTGCTAGCTTAGGAGGTAATGAGGGAGGTGGAGGAAAAGGAGGAGTAAGAGGAAGAGGAAGAAGAACAGAGGAAGTGGAGGAGGAGGAAGCACAGTCACACACACTTTGCTATTAACTGTTTTAAGGTTCTCATGACCACACACACACACACACACACACACACACACACACACACACACACACACACACACACATACACACACACACACACACACACACTCACACATGAAGGTATTTTTAAGAGTTTTGTTCAACATATTTTAAAAAGCTTGTGGAGACAGACAGACAGACAGGAATCGTCAAACTATCTGACAGCAAAAGGAATTACTCTACGTAGCAAGCTGCATCACAAGTCATGTGTGTGTGTGTGTGTGTGTGTGTGTGTTAGACCGGATGCTGGAGAGGTCCCACGACACACCTCACACCTGTACACCACAAACTGAACACCTGGAAAGGAATTTATCTTTTGCCTGCCTGAGGTTAGAATGTTATACATATATTTAGAAGATCATAATTACATCTGTAGAAGTAATTAGAGTAAGAGGAATATCAAACCTTCAAAGAAAACGGAACTAAGAGAGAAAACATATACTCGTGGATGGGTTAAGGGGATACTACCATGGTTCATCAGGGACGAAAGTTAACATTGTATACGAATATTCTTGCTCACTGTAGAACTTTTATTTGTACATAAAAGTCCCATACCAAATCGTTTTAACAGCATCGTAAATCACATAATCGTTTTACTGTCATTATTATACAAAAAAGTGAAAAAAAGGTAATTTTATTTTCTGCAATATATTAAAAAAAGAGCTTTTATAGGTATTTAGTTAATAATATCTTGAGCTATAAAAGATACACCGCTGTTATGGTCACAATTGTAAAGGTGATCTACAGCGGCTGAGCGTGAGGAAGTTTACTGAAGAACTAAACACGTTTCCTTCAGCGTGGGAAAGTGTTTTAGAAGCCCCCATTACTGTGCTGTGTTGAGGGTGGTAACGGGGTGCGGTGGCTGAGTGTTTGCAGCGCTCGCCACTTGTCCTAAAGGTTCCTGGTTCGCATTTAGTTGTGAGTGTGTGCCTTATTTTACTGTTGGGGAGGTGAAGGTGGTTGAGTGCAGTGTCGGCCAAGTTTTAGGGACACACACATGCACACACACACACACACACCACAAACTTCACCATCCACTACAGTTGTCACTCTGACGTTACACAAACAGAACAAACACTAAACCACAAACATAAAATAATAAAACACACCCGAAAATTAATCTCTGTTACACATTTACCACATAAGTCACAAAACAAATATGTAACTTTTATTTTTCCTAAGACTAAAATATATGCAATAGAAAAGAAGACAGTTGTTACGTGTTCCAATAATCCTTCGCCCCGGTCTGTGTAGTGAAGCGTCAGGCGGGCCACTGTCAACATTTGTCCACCTGGCTGGGAATTAGTAAGTTTTGGCCCAGGACAATGCGCTTTGTTACGTTCCTTTGTCCTTGTAGCTGAGGTTTGATACCATTGTTTTACCTGGTTCACGTTATCCACCTTGATTAAGCAGTACGAGTGTTAATTTAACCCCATATTACCTATTGTAACTCCTTTAGCTTAGTATAAATTACGTGAATAAGTGTTTACATCCAGTATAATCCCCCTTGATAGTGTTTGAATCCACTAAGACCGTCATTTAATAGTCTATGAATCCATTTGACTCTCATCGATGACGGACAGGTCTTTCAGCATCACCAACACAACCCCTCCCTACCCCCAAAAATCCCGTATATATTTTTTCCATGAACGTAAATCTAACTCAAACAACACGTCTCTGATTCACTGCTTTAAGACCTCAGAGAATCCCTTTAGTGGAGAATAAACAGCTTTTAAGTCTGTTTTTATGCTACAACGTGAAGGCACATAGAGTTGGTGATGAAGATTGACGCATTGTCTTATTAACCTTCGGGGTCACGGGATGTAAACAATAAAACAAATGACGATCAAACGCGGGAGTATAGAGGTTAGGAATATCTTTGACAGGTGATGGACTTTGCCTTTGTTACTGTGGGGTTGAATACGAATGGTTTGGCTCTCTGTCTCTCTTTCCTCCTTCGTTCTATTTCTTCCTCTTTTTCATCTTGTTTTCATGGTGATTATCTTCTTCTACATCTCTCCCTCCCTCCTTCTTCTTACCTCAACTCCTCTTTCTCTTTCTTCACCTTTTTCCTCTCACTTCCCCTCCTCCTCCCCGTCGCATCACCCCTCTTCCCTCTCCTTACATCACCCCTCTCCCCCTCACTTCACCTCTCTTCACGTCACTTCCCTCTCTCCTCACCACACCTCCCACTCCTCCCCCTACCTCACCTCACCTGGTCGGCCTTAACAGGTAAACAAACACACACCTATACATTCCTTCCTTTCAGGTTTACCCTCACAATATTGGTGGTTGGTCAATGGTTAGTTTTGTTCTTCCCTCTCTCTCTCTCTCTCTCTCTCTCTCTCTCTCTCTCTCTGTCTCCATCTGGCTGTCTCTCATTCTCCCTTTTTGTCCTCTCTCACTCCTTTCTCCCCTCCTTTTCATCATCATTCGTATCCTTAAAGAAGAAGAAGAAGAAGAAGAAGAAGAAGAAGAAGAAGAAGAGTTAAACTAAGAAAAAATCTTCTCAACACACATTACCTCATTAAGGACAAATTTACCCTGTCGTGGGGGTGAGGGAGGGGGGCGTGTGGGTGAGGGAGGGAGGCGTGGGGGCGTGGGGGTGAGGGGAGGCGTGGGGGCGTGGGGGTGAGTGGAGGGAGGCGGGGGGCGTGGGGGTGAGGGAGGGAGGCGTGGGGGAAGGAGGGAGGGGGCGTGGGGGGTGAGGGAGGGAGGCGTGGGGTGAGGGAGGGAGGCGGGGGCGGGGGGGTGAGGGAGGGGCGTGGGGGCGTGGGGGTGAGGGAGGAGGGCGGGGGTGAGGGGAGGGAGGCGTGGGGGGCGTGGGGGGTGAGGGAGGGAGGGGGGCGGGGTGAGGGAGGGAGGCGTGGGGACGGGGGTGAGGGAGGAGGCGTGGGGCGTGAGGGAGGAGGCGTGGGGCGTGGGGGTGAGGGAGGGAGGCGGGGGGCAAGCTCATTAACGTCACACATAGTTCCTTGAAGACCAGGAGAGCTGTTTCTCATTTAGGGAAGATTGGTAACTGGTGCTTGTGGGGAGGTAAGTTGGGGAGATGATGGGGAGGTGGGGAGAAGTTGGGGAGGTAGAAGGGGGAGGCAGGTTGGGGAGATGATGGGGGGGGGTGGGAGAGACTGGGGAAGTGGAATTAGGTTGGGGGGGTGGGGTAAGTTGGGAGGTTGGAGAGGTGGCAGTGGGAGGTTGGGGAGGTGACGGTGGGGAAGGGTTTGGGAGGTCATGGAGGGTAGGGAAGAGGAGAGAGAGAGAGAGAGAGAGAGAGAGAGAGGGGACACTAGTATTGACCTTGGCTGAATGTGACTTTCCACCAGCAGTTCTGTTTATCTTGGCAACACTGCAATGTGACAGACATGCGAGCATATATACTTTCCATATCTGCTGGTAACACTGTCATTCTCTCCTGGGACAAAAAACAAACAAACTTAATATGACTATTTTATTTATTTTTTAACTATATTCTATTTTATTTTAGCTTTTATTTATATAGTCAAGGTACAGTGCATTTCAGACGCCATTAAAAGCTTCTTGTATTATCATTCCTAAATCGGTTTTAAATGCTGTACGATAGCTTGGGATAAGGCCACTGGCATTACTCTAGGGTGATAGTAACCTGGCGGACGTATGATCGATTTTTTTTAGCCTCATCCATAATAAAATCATCTTGAAGAGGGATAGGGGAAGGGGAAGGGGAGAGAGGAGGAGAGGGGAAGGGGAAGGAGGGGGAAGGGGAGAGGGGAGGGGACGGGGGGTGTCCTCAAATGTCCTCAGTGGGTTAACGGCATGCAAGTTCAATGGATATTTATGAAATACAACAAAGAAGTAATCTATTTGGTGCTGTTTAACTCCTTGACGGAAAATACACCCGAACATATCTTAAAATTGTGTTA